TACACGGACCACCTTTAGAATTCACAAAATTATCGTGGGGCGAAGACTATCGCAACTCACATGCTTTAACAGACTAACGACTGTCGTTGCGCAACAATACGATAGCCTTGTGGAACGGGCCTTGCACCTCAAAGTTTACAATAACGTCACAATACCCGTTGACGTAATTTGTGGAATTTTGTTGCAAGATCCATCGGCGAAACAATGCCATGTGACGTCAGCCTAGCAACAAGGTTGCTGGGGTCATCGAGTGTGCATAAGCTCCTCTCAGTGATCTATCAACTCCACACGCAATGTCGTTGAATAAGCCAAGCGATGTTGAGAGCTTTCAATATTTGTTGTGAAACATGTTGCGAGAGTACAAAAGCACGCGTTTTGGTATTACACAATGTGTAATACAGCTGTATATTTATTAAACGGGTGATCTCTTCACGGGCAAGTAATAAATACCTGTAACGTGTACGGCCCAAACGTTTGTCTTTTTTTTCACGAAATTCTCAGGTTTGAGTCCGTGAATCAAAGAAATACAGAAGAAATTAAAAGAGCATTTAATCTGGATAAGCGGCATAACTGTAAACTTTCTTTTCTTTTTCGATGTTTCACACGAGGTCGATGAGACTTATCAGGGAGAAACATAATTTATTGTAGGAATAAAATATAATCGGTTCGGCGATAAAACACGATAAGGAATAACAAGCGATCTTTTAGGAAAATCAGTATTTTAAACTGAAAAAATATTTCTCTCATGTTTTATATAAAATACCAATTCTCAGCAAGATAAAATTCACAGTAGCGGAGGAGTGTGTTAAGAGTTACCTCCCCTTGTCGTGTTTTACACGCAATGCATTTGCTACCAACTCCATTCCGGGACACGCCGAATGGAGACTACGGAAAGATGCGAGAGATAACGAATGACTCTAGGGTGAAGGTCAAGGTACTTGTGGTTAGGTGGATTGATGTAACTGAAGATGGATAGAGAGATGTAGACATATTTATAGACATACTGTTGACAGGTGCACGATGCTCATTCATTGGATTGTATGAAGATTTTGCATCTTCCTAAGACAAGGGAGTTAACTGACTGTCAAAGTCCAGTTACCACCCATAAATATGTGCAGTTGTCTGTATCCTCCCCATGTGGATATATATTTCATCATCTAAGCAAGAACATGACACAACCATCATCATATTTGACATACACCCCCAACCCCCCGAATTACAGACACGTAGTTATCTATTGATATACAATCCTTCGATTGTTTTAGTTAAAGCTCTTGAAAATCATATCACATGAATAATCCAATGTAACCAATCTATATATTTATGTATACACTAAGTCTTATTTATTTTTTTATTTAGTGTCCATCCATAGAATATTATATTTTTATTCCTGTTTTATGACTGAGAAACGTAAGTGTGATGGATTAAACCAAGTGTGATAATATCTGCGGCTTCTTATCATTTTCGGGGCGGTCGGGTAGCCTAGTGGGTAAAGCGTTCGCTCGTCTCGCCGAAGACCCGGGTTCGATTGCGACATGGGTACAATGTGTGAAGCCCATTTCTGGTGTCCCCCGCCGTGATATTGCTGGAATATTGCTAAAAGCGGCGTAAAACCAAACTCACAATTTCCTTCAAACACAGCAAATCCTTTTCCTGAATGACAAGCACAAGTATTGTGATTACAACATACTGAGTGAATTGTTTGACAGGCATTACTTAGAAGTTGACGGATGACAAAGTAGACACAATTTATGGATAACAACTTCTTTGATACTGTAAAGGCGACGTTTCGGTATAGATCCTCATACCGTTGCCAAGCAAGACTTGACTTTTAGAAATATTTTTTCTGTGCAAAAGTAGTTAATCAAAAGCCAATATATCCAAATTAAGTCATGAATTTCTTCTACCACAAACACCAGCCTAAATAACCGATCATTGTGGTTGTCAAAAGCAAAATATTAACTGACACATACCAAACATCTTTCCGAGGCAAGCGTGTCAACTAGCCTATAAGAAAGTCCAGTTTTCGATTCAAGCCTACATTTCTGTGCTAGAATATGACCTGACTATGGTACATATCAATAGTCAAATCAGAGAAGTTTAACAAAATCAACATCCCTGTTCCGAAAACGTGGTGGCTGCTCTGGCCACAGACATTGCCTGTCGAATTTGCGGTAGTTAATTCCAAAAGTTAAGCTCAGACATATTTTTGAAGTGGTTCAAAACTTTCTATAAACTCACCGAAGTACAGCTTAGATTGCTAGGGACCAATTCTAACCCGGAATTCCACGGATTCCCAATGTAATCACCTCTTACGACGAGCAATAGGTTGCAGGGACACATTCTACCTAGGTCACCACGGGGTCCTGCTGATCGTGTGCGATACATAAGAAATTATTTATATCAAAAAATAATAAATTAAAGAAAGGAAATGACGATTAGTAAAGATAATCGAGACTGCGGTAACACTATGACGGATTCAAAGTTAAATACGTATATCAAGGTGATCGTATCCTGCCCCACCGGTGGAACCCGTTACACACACACGCACGCATGCATGCTATCCGTGAAGATCCGTGAAGATCCGGGGTAGAATAGGTCTTCAGCAACCCACGCTTGCCGTAAAAGGCGACTATGCTTTTCATAAGAAGCGACTAACGGGATCGGGTGGTCAGACTCGCTGACTTGGCTGATGCATGTCATCGTATCCCAATTGCGTGGATCGATGCTCATGATGTCAATCACTGGATTGTCTGGGTCAGACTCGATTATTTACAGACCGCCGTCATATAGTTTGAATACTGCTGAGTGCGGCGTTAAACAACAAACAAACAAACATACATACACACATGCAAAGGTAAGTCAAATGTTCACCTGAAAAAAACACAGAAAAACATGGTACAAGTCAAAATAGGGAATTGCATCGGACATCACTGGAAATGGAAATGTCCTCCACATGTCTGCAATAAAGCGTTTTGAAAGCTTCGCTGAGGCCTTGAATGTTTTAACCTTGATCAGACAGCGTCTGCGCAAGAGTCGCATGGCGCTCTTTGAAATCTATCAAGCGTTGTATTGGGTATGATATTTCAATTTTAGGGCGACTTGAATTCAGTTAGTACGGGAGGTAACGGCATGTGAGGCTAAATTATTGTGAAACATATAAAAGTGGAACCAATAAACGAATAATGCATTAATATTTTTTTTCTTCTAAATGTGCCTGTGTTGATTTGAACATTCTGAATAACTTTGTCTATATGTATTAAACAGTTTTCTAAAAAGTCTATGGGACTTACGGGTAATTGAAATTTGACCTTATGGGTAATTGAACAGTCATGTATTTCTATGTATTACAACTGTTTATAACATGTAACATATGGTCTGGTTGTTCTTCTCAATATTTTGTTCGTTGTGCCTACATTACCCGTGAAGATCCGGGGTAGAATATGTTTTCAGCTACCCATGCTTGCCGTAAAAAGCGACTATGCTTGTCGTTAGAGGCGACAAACGGGATCGGGTGGTCAGACTCGCTGAGTAGGTTTATCTATGTCATCATATCATAATCGCGTAGACCAAGTGCGGCTTTAAACAACAAACAAACAGTGCCTACGTGTCGATTCACCACAAGCGGAATGCGGCTTGATCTAGTTTTGGCTTGAATAGGCTTCTGCACTGTGAACAGACATCGTTTATCAAAGTCATTGTGTAAGGGGGGTAATCGCATTGTAGTCAAAAACACGGTTTAAGATGAAAAACAGGAAATGAATTGAAACCAGTATTGTTCATATTGCTTTAAACATGCCTGTGTTGATTAAACATTTGGGGGAAATTATTTTATTGTAAATATAATTCGACGAACAAAGATTTTGCCGCAGTGTTGATGCATCGGATCAAAACTTTCCTTCTTACTCATGACGTGACCAGTCTGCGCAAGTCAAGGTCTCTCTCGGGTATTTACGTGATATGTGCGTGCTGATAGGCAAGTCAATATGATGATTACAAGGTGCATGATTGATTAACCACCATTAGAGTTGGACGAGAAGGACTAAGGCCACCTGAAATAAAGCATGCAGAATGAGTTGTATGAAACTCGTTGGAAGGATGGTGTTCCAGCTAAATTTAATTTGGTTGCCACCAGAGATGTTTTGATAGTGAAATTAGATGTAAAATTTAATTCAAATAAAAGCAAATAATCATGATAATAACCTTTGTTTAGGGACCACGTGGTGTATCCACAATGTTCTTATGACCCTAATCAGCCTCGTCAATATAATAACAACCTGGAGTAACTTTGTTTATGCCATTTAATATTTTTTGGGGTGCTTTTTGTGTTTTGTTATTGGATTTGTTTGTTCTTTTGATTTGATATTTATGTTGTACATAAAGACCTTCTCATTCCGGACATCGCTAGTCCGGATATCCTGCTTTAAGGATGCTTACCACGGGAACATCCACATAAAAAAGTCCATTACTCAGGCTCCGTGATTCGTTGATGAAGATCATATTTAATCCGGACGATTTCGGAACTGTGACGTCCGGAGTAATGCGGTTTTACTGACTACGATAAACTACGTTAATAAAGAACACGCTAATACCGAACAGACGTATATAACGAACTTTTTTGGTCCCGCCCATTTGCTGTACATATGCTTATAAAGAAATACGGTTATAACGAACAAATTTAGTTTTCCTTTTGAGTTCGTTATAACCGTAGTCAACTATATTTGTTTGATGCATGTAACATTAGCAAAATACTTCTTATGTAACCTCGTTCCTTGGAGTAAAATTAGTAAATAAGAATAAAGTATTAATTTTTACACGTTGTGTTCACTGGTGTTTGCGTCAATATGAAATCAACAAGGTCAAGTAAACAAAACACTTCATACAGTGAACATGCAATCATGTACATATCTTCACATAACTGTGATGAAAGTCCAGCAAATACAACCACGAACGTGTCCTTGATAACAATGCTTATCTAACAGGCCTCTATATAATCCCATCACAGCGACGCATTTTAAAAGCACCCGCACAGTGTCGGTAGCGCTGTACCTACATCTGCACTTGCTCCACAGCGCCAAATAGTCTCGGTTCTAAAGTTTGCACTCGTCGTTGCGTAATAGGGCTGCAGCAATGACGAACCTCCGGAATATTGTGATCTTCATCCTTGTATGTGCGTTACCGCATGCTGTGGTGAGTTTATGATCACGAAAATTTTATTTATTAGCCCCGTTAAGAAAACATTCCTTTTTTTAATTACTGTTTGCAAAACTGAAAGGGGAGGGTTATTTGATATATTTTGTACTCGAGGTCAGTGACCACAGCCGGGTTACACTGTAAGTCTTGTGACACATGTACATGAACGTCATGGCGGATACAAAAAGCCGGAAGTTGGTGTTAAAACGAAATTTGAGCTTTAATTGGCGCTTCTCAACAACGGTTAGCAAATATAAACACTCAAACTGAAGCGCAAACAAAGTTTTACCGAGTTTGTTTTTTAATGTTATTGAAAATGAACTGTTTTTAAATTTTGATTATGTCTATTAAACCATCACTCGTTCCTGCAACAGTTTGAAAGAGAAATCTGTGGACTGGTAGTTTTGTGTAAATTGGTTAGGCATTTTGATTTTTAACATGAAAAGATTTGGGGAAATATCTGCTGACTCCGAGTTGGTGGTACACATGCTTTGCAAATCCTGCAATCGACCGAAATCTGCAATCAATTTACAAACCGGATGTCGATTTCGTTAGGCGATTTTGATTGGACTATGCATAGACTCCTTAGTCGAGCCACAATATAACTCCATAATTCCATCTAGTTCTTCAAGGTAAGAAACTGGAATTTTACAGTCAACTAAGTCCCTTGCCTTGGGAAGATTTTGTAAATGTGTGCCGAACAGAGCAAATTTAGTGATTTTCAAATACATTTATAGGATGTCTAAGCTGCCCATCAGCTGCTGTGTAACATGCGAATTATTATTTTTTAATCGAAATATATTTTTAAAAATATAAACCATGAAGAAGTATTGAGCTGATGGAGACTTTATAGCTTTCTGCTACATCTGCAAAATTAGATATATTTGTTAATTTTGTTAATTGAAATGAGTTCCCGTCTCGATGTTCGGACCGAGGCCCGCCTGTGGCAACCAGAAGTAATTTCGTTATTCGTGGTCTTTCAAACGTTTACCAGTAGGTTCATTCAGAATGTGTAATCATCCATGATGAGTAATCACCTTTCTTTATGCGTTTAATAATAAATCACAGTTCACCTAAAGTGTGGCATGTTTCAAATATACTTCGGTTCAGATCACAATGGAATACTGATGGAAATAACTAAATCGCTGCCTTATTTGTTTCTAGTTTACAAATTGGGTCCGGGCCAACGCAGTGAGAATAGCTGACCGGTACAATGGCAGTACTCATTGGTCTTATGCGTCCTCGCACGCCACGGGGCGTAACACCAATAAGTGCAACATCTTTGTAGCGGACGTGTTTGACGAAGCTGGAGGTGCGGTGCCTCATAGATGGTAGGATATATTAAATTGGAACAATATGTATGTTCTTAATTGCTGCAGTTATTTTTAAATCTGTTTTTACTAACGACATCTTGGTGGTTTATACAAAGAATATTATTGATATTTTTATACGAACGGTTTCAAAAGTATTTAAATACCAATTGTTCTTGGCAGGGAAAACCCGACTCATCAGAGGCTATACTGAGAGTTGCGTCTTTCAGCTGCTGTGATCTGCTTGTCGTTGGTTCGAATTTAAATCTCGTGCCGATTGTGATTCTTTATGTCAGCATTAGTCCCATGTTGATGTGTTTGTTTGATTGTTGTTTAACGCCGCACTCAGCAATAGTCCAGCTATTTGACGGCGGTCGGTAAATAATCAAGTCTGGACCAGACAATACAGTGATTGACATTATGAGCATCGATCCACGCAATTGGAATACGATGACAAGCATCAATCAAGTCAGCGAGCCTGACCACCCGATCCATGGTAGTCGCCTCTTACAACAAGCATAGTAACCTTTTACGGCAAGACTGGGTTGCTTGAGACCTATTCTACCCCGGATCTTCACGGGTCTTTGGGTAGAGGAGGTGGTATTGAGTTTCGTGTGTACTGTGCAGTGGTAGTGTCGGTATGGGCAGTGGAATACGTACTGGTAGGTGTTGTGGGTAGTGGAGGTGTTAGGGGTACTGGTCGTGGGTACAGGTACCCCGGATCTTCACGGATATCCATGTTGATGTGTTTCACCCAAGTGGTACATATACTAGCCACATAAAGAAACTGTGCACGGAGAAAATATATTCTGGATTGAAATACAACACAGCAAGAACAAAATGATGCAGACGCTGTAGCAGCTGAATGATCGGACCATAAGAAAATTTCCCCGGGACCTGAACAACATCTGTTACGATGACGTCAGAAGATCAAAATGGAGTAGGGGGTCATACGACAAAGTCACAAAGTCAATAACGGGTATGAAACCCTGTGCGTGAATCACAGCAGTGCATCGACGACGCATGGAGTCCACCAAATGGACATGGAAGGCCTAGGGAATGGCCTGCCATATCCTCCTCAAATCCTGTGCCAAGTCACGGACGTTATCTGGAGATGTGGAAGACGACGCAGACGGCGCTCCATTTATCCCACACATGCTCTATTAGGGAGAGATCTGGAGAAACTGCAGGCCATGGCAGTAACATGACATTGTTATGGTGAAAGAAATCCACTGCGACCCTAGCCGTGTGAGGACGAGCGTTGTCCTGTTGAAATGTCAATCCCGGGCCATGACGTTGCAGGAAAGGAATGACCACAGGCCTCAGAATCTGATCTCTGTAGCCAACACCGGTGAGATTGCCCTGAACAACCACCAAAGGGGTTCGGTGCCGTGCTGTTATCCCACCCCAAATCATCACAGAGCCACCTCCAAAACGATTCCTCCCCACAATACAGTTGCGTGCATAACGTTCTCCCAAACGCCGGTAGACACGTTGGCGCCCGTCACTGTGGGAAATGTTGAACCTCGATTCATCTGTAAAGACAACATTTCTCCACCATATTCGAGGTTGGCGAACATGATTTCGACACCATCTTAGACGGTTGACTCGATGACGGTGTGTCAGGATGGGACGTATGGCAGGGCGTCGTGGTCGAATCCCGTACTGACGTAAACGATTCCTGACAGTGTTGGGATGGATACGGCGCAGTCCAGGAATTGTCTGGGACGTCGTAACTGCCGTTTGGAACCTGTGTCGGAGATGTGTAACTCGAATCCATCTGTCCTGTCTTGGCGTCGTTACTCGGAGACGTCCTGAACGTGGGTGGTCGGCAACGTCATTTGTGTTCTGATAACTCCTCACCAATGCCGATATCGTGTTACGATGGCATTGGAAATGTGTTGCCACCTGTTGTTGCCTCATTCCCACTCGGATCATTCCAATGGCTTCATGACGCTGTGCAGCTGTCAATCTTGGCATGATTTGCTTGTGATATGCTTGTGTCTGCGCCTGAGGAGTTTTGAATTTTTGAATGACCACAGATCATGCTTTCCAAAGTGACAGCGAATTTTGAGTTGCACATGCTGTGTACAGCTGCACAGGATGCACGTGCAGTAACACATTGCACGTCCATAGGCCCCCATCAATGACGTCATATCGCATGGCTCGTGCATGAGCGTTTGAATGTCTCCAATAATTGCTGTGTTCAAACCTATATTTTATATATGGACGGTGTGCCCTTATATCTATATTTTCTCCGTGCACAGTTTCTTAATGTGGCTAGTATATATCGGAGTTAGATTCATCTTACTCACTTATGGAATACGATTCGACTGATTTATGGACATGTACATTTATGTGTCGCTCTATGAATGGACGACATACAGCCAGAAACGGGAATTTCTCTTGACTCGAAATGATTTTATAAGTTTCTATATTCCGGTACAATGACATTTTCTTTAAATAAAGGGGAATATTGCAGGTTTGGATTTGCCGGTCCTATAGGAGCAAGGGAATGGGGAAACCCAGGGTCGAGCTACCTGACACGGGATAGTTGCTGGACCAATTACCGAACTGGTCTTGTCGGTGACGTCATTGCCGGTGAAGGACACGTTGGAATAGTAACGGGATGGAGAATGACAACCAGCACCACCGGCTACAGAGTTGTGAAGAACAACTGGGGCTTTCGTCCTGGACAGAGCGTCACTTACTGGAGATATATCTGTTAACATCAGTTCCGTATGGTTTTGACTTTTCTTGCAACTTAGATATCATAATAAACACCTCTGTATCTCCTGTATGTGTGTATGATTAACTGTGTGGCATCTAAGTGGCCTAATGATTAACCTTGCCTTTGATCTATAAACTGTTCTTGTCACTAAATAGATGATCTGGAAAATTGCTGATGCGAGGTAAATAAATAACACATTCACTCTTTACGTGAATACCGGCATCGACAAGATGAATATATTATAAACAATCACTGATTAGTGACTGGCAGTTACGTATTCGTTGTTTGTAAATTATCATTGCGTTTCAAAAATAAATCGTCAACACTAGTTGCTGACAAATCTTACAATGCGTTCATGTTCCAGTTGCAATGTTTTTCAGTTTCACTCTAACAACTAGAATGCAGGTTTCCTATCTTGGCTATGTACGAGGAAAAAGAATAAAATTAATTATATTATTGATCTTTATTATCGAATTTCCTATTCTGAGACAGCCGAAATAGTAGAACATGACTTAAGTACATTATTGTATACTTCAGTGTGAAAGACTGAGGTTGCTGGAGTTAAGAGAAATAATATTTTCATTGCAGTGAACATAACACACACCCCTATCAGGTAACACATTCACTCTTTACGTGACTTTTCTTGCAACTTAGATATCATAATAAACACCTCTGTATCACCTGTATGTGTGTATGATTAATACCGCCCCCCCCCCCCCCCCCCCCTTACATCGTCTCCCTTTATCGTAAGTGTCTCGCCCGTACACAAAAAAACTGTTGACGTCCTTTTTGCGTTAGTTCCACTTTGACAAGGCAAAATAACTAATGGAGTTAAACTATCACTTCTTGCCCTTTGTTATTCTCTCGAAAATATTTTGTTATAAACTGTAAATTTCACATTTAACTCGCCAATCGAGACTGTTCGTTTCGCAAAGCGCCATTTTTGTTACTTGACCAGCGTGTATTCTTTCGCTTCCAACATCGGTCTCCTAGTTTTGAAGAATATTTTTTGTTAAAGTTAATTTTGTATTTAATCAAATCTATATGTATGATACAGAAGTTTCGTGACCCTATATATTCTTTATACTTTTTTGTTTATATTGTTTAAGATTTTGTCAACACGAAACTACTTTTTAAGTCGCAAATACAAGGTGAAAACGTGGTGAAACGTCCCTATGTTCCCCTACATTTCAAGGTTTAACATTTGTAATGAAATAATATATTTTACGGTAGACACCTACACAAACAGTTTATTATAAATAGGATATGTCATGTGTCTCGTGAAATATGATGTCTCTCTCATCTTGTCTCTCATCCCGGGGGGCACGGGTGGCCCAGTCGTCTAAGGCGGCGCGATTCGCTGTGCAGAGTTGCGTCCCTTGGGCACGCCAGAAACCAATGATTATGGGTTCGAATCCCGGTTCGCCCCGATTATGTTTCTAGGTTTGTCAGCACCATACCCGTGCTCGTGGGTTTCACCGAAATGGTAAACGTCTAAGACCTGCATCACTTCGGGCTTTCCTCCCACATTAAGCTGACACGCCGTGATATAACTGGAATACTGTTTAAAGCGGTGTTAAACCCAACTCACTCACTCACTCTCATCCCGTCACTCGATAAGAGAAACATGACATTTCACTCGACACATGAAATACCCTCTATGTCTTACCCAACCATTAATTGGAATACTGTAAGTATTATTATGCAAGCGTGTTATACATGTATGGCTCCTGTCAAATATGTATGATCTATCGTAAAAATCACGTACAATACAGGCTCTATTTAAACCCTACCATCATATCACATTTGGCGTTTCACTGCACTGAGCTTAAATCTGTTCGGTGGTTACTGAAGCTGGATGCACGGCACCGAACGCACCGTGAAGCGGAAGCATCACTCGTGGATCTACCCATTATCCGCACCTTCCCCGTCTGTCGGCATCAATGGTGTATCTAGTCCGCCAGGTGGCTGTACATATCAGGACTACGTCAGTGCAGAAACCCCACGTTTCGGGTGTGAAAAATGAAAATAAAGTTGACAAGTTCCTTTTTTACTTACAGTGTCACAATATCGATGACCATTTCTGGAACGATGAAATGCAATAATGTCCTGTGTATCTTGTACAGTACAAGTTTATAACACATTTTCACAAATCATTCAGTTAATGAAATGAATTTTTGATATCGTCACGCTTAGACTCTATTACTTATCTGAATACACAGTGAGAAAAAATATTTACAGGGTATCCTACAGATCTTGTGTCATCGTACTGTGCTTCAATTGACACTATTTACATGGAGCAGAAAGGAGCCAGAAAGGGATGTTGGTGTTGTAGGGATCAAGTGCTAGTTCAGAAGAGGATCTTTGAAGATGCTGAAACTTACCACTGTAGCCTGTCAATGTGTTGGATAGATTACAGAAATGCCTATGATTCTGTACCTCACGAATGGATTTTAAAGTCATTGGAATGTATTGACGTCTGCGAGGGGTTTAAGTCTTCAATGATTTGCTGGTCAACTCAACTTGAGATGTATTCGCAGGGACAGGTGGTGACTTCGGGTCCCTTTTCTATTAGAAGAGGAATATATCTGGGCGATTCTTTTTGTCCTCTGTTTTTCTGTTTGTCACTAAATCCTTTAAGCGGTATGCTTAGCAAAGAGGAAGGTTATCATCCTTGGCCTCCTCAGCACATATCCCCAACACCCCTTATTCACCTCCTTAACATGGATGACCTTGAACTTATGGCCAAATGAGAATCCACACTAGAAAAACAGATTTTCATTGTAGAGTACTTTTCTAATGATAATGGCATATCATTTGGAGTCGACAAATGCAACATTCTCCATCTGAAATGTGGAAATGTGGCAAACCCCAGAATGCCATATCAAGGGAAAACCTCGGGCAGAGTACCAATGTAGACTTAAGAAAATCAGAGTTCAGAATGATGAGTTCAGAGCAGACAATGCATTCCACAATTTTCTTAAAGGAGCCAAGGCTGTGGGACATAATTTCAATGTCAATGTTGATTTTGTTGATGGTTCTGTACTGCTGGACGGTACAGAAATGAATGTCAACCACGCGAAGTGCTATTATATCAAATCGCCCCAGACTCGGTTTTTCAGGGAGAGGCTATCAGACTTCCCACTGCATCAAGTTTATGGGCAGTGTGTTGAGAAGATCAGCAACCATGCAGAGTCCTTAGGTTGGATGAAGTCGACTGGCCTAAAACGTGTCCCACACGAAACCGTCTATGTGTGATTTTGCATCAAAATATAAATATGAAATGTATATTATGCAATGAATTTAATGAGACTGTCCAACACATTGTCAGTGGATGCCCAGCTTTGGCACAAACACAGTATTTTAAGCGACATGATGGAGTGGCTCGATGATTTTATTACCGTCTTCGCCATGCTTGTGGTTTTGACACAGAGGTCCATCCATGGTACGACCTAGAATATGTACAGGGCGTCATGGAAAATGATAAATACAAATTTCTTTGGAATAGGCCCGTATACAGCCTCAGCCATATCCAGGCCAACAAACCTGATCTTGTCCTTTTTGATTAATCCAATGAAATCATGTCATTGAATTTTCTGTCCCCTTTTACACTGATGTGATTGACAAACTTCAAGAAATAGCAAATATCACGCTTGTATCCCAAGTACCAAATTGTCCGACTCCCCATTGTTCGCGGTGTCTTAGATTTGGTGCCTCCCAATCTGTTGACTGACATTGGGAGAGTACCCAGGTTTGCTACCAGGAATACAGCCCTTCTGAAAGTCTGGGTAATGCAGAAGGCAGCAGTGTTGGGGAGTCTTCATATTCTCCGAAAAAATCTGGGTGGGTTTGACTAGGCAGTGCATCTTGGGAGAAGTCCCATTCGCTGTCTTGGCTGCATGTAGAGGGAACACGTGCCCTGAGCTGATGATGAGTCTGACTTTGCCAGGATCACCCAAACCTTCTTTGTCACATTTTTACTTTAATCGCTTATGCGCGAAAAACAGATCTTCCCATCAAGGGCAACTTAGCTTGTGCTTTGTCACGACGAGATCTTAACGTCCTCACGTCGTCCCGGCTATCGAAGCATCAGGCGCCACTTTTCAGCAAGATAATGTTCACCCCAACACAGCACGAGCCTGCAGTGATTTCCGGGGAGATAAGAACATAAACGTCAAGGTCATCCGATTTCAATACATTTGAGGGGTCGTGCAGAGTTGCGTCCCTTGGGCACGCCAGAAACCTATGATTGTGGGTTCGAATCCCGGTTCGCCCCGATTATGTTTCTAGGTTTGTCAGCCCCATACCCGTGCTCGTTGGTTTCACCGAAGTGGTAAACGTCTAAGACCTGCATCACGTTGGGCTTTCCTCCCATATTAAGCTGACTCGCCGTGATATGACTGGAATACTGTTTAAAGCGGCGTTAAACACAACTCACTCACTCAGAACCCATTTGAACATATGTTGGATAAGCTTTCTCAGTTCGTGCGTTTATAAATGTACTTCACCCTTATGCTGTTAATGTAGATGACATATTTCACAAAATCTATAACGAAATCAACATGATGTTTTCCAGCAGCTATCAGTGATGTATCTGATGTTTATCACGATAGATAAACAGGTGGTGTGATGTTTCAATTAACTCCGGTGCACTCACCTTATTATCAAGAAAGACTCACGGTTGGCTAGGAACCGACCATGTGATACTTTCCTGCTGGGGTTTTGTATCGAGATTTTCATCTAGATAGTCTAAGAGCCGGAGTCATACTAAAAGACGTTAAAAGATGGTACTTGTTGTTACCCTGTCTGGCGCTCGGCATTAAGGGGCTAAAACAAGGACAGTATACAGTGTCTGAGTGGGGTATTCATGTCAAACTGCGGCATGGTATCTCAGTGAGCTAGCACTATAAATCGGCATCAGTCCGGACTAGTACAAGCAGCCACACAAACACACACACGTACATGCACGTCGATATAATAAGTGCAATAATCTTGGACGCGACGCTGAACGCCATTTCACCCACCTCACCCATCATCTAGAGCAACTAAACCAGATATTTTATGATTTACAACTATAAGCCTGAATTATCTCTAAAGAAAACCACCTTGCAACAATGTAAATTTGTGGCAGGCAATTCTGAGGCATAATTGTTTTTGCAAGAAAATTTTTCGATAAAATCACAAAATGAGGGGTGAGTCCATGTTAAACCGCGGCATGGTACCTCAATTGGCACTTTAAACCCGAATATGCATATCGCTATATGAGTACAATAACGTTAAACCCGATTTCACCTTACATCACTTCTTAGGTTGGCATAAGTTCATACATCAACCTCACTCTCATT